TATATATATATATATATATATATATATATATATATATTATTATTATTGTTGTTATTATTATTATTATAAATTAAGGGCATTAATTGGAGCCCTATTATTATTAATTGCCACAGATCGAAATCTATTCGGGCTTCAAGCGATGCCATTGTACCACAGTTTGTTTGGGTTTCGAGATCATATCTTGCCAATGCTTTGTCTCTGAGGCACCTGAACCGTTCTTACCTGAGTGAAGATTGAAAGATATCAAATCTTAAATTCAATGTAATGTTGTGTTAAGCTTTCATTTACCAGCTAAGAGTATTCGGCCGATCAACTCGTTTCTACCAATATTATCAAAGTCCATGACCATAACGTCCAAGGAGCATTCACGAATCTTTTCCCATGGCACATTAAAGCTAAAGGATTCATTAAAGACTGGATTAAGCGTACAGGTAAATATTGGTGTTTTTCTCTTCTCTACGCGTTTATCGCCGAATTGAAGCCAAACTTTCACATACGGATCTGCAACGATTAGTTTGTATATTTAAGTTCACATTTTTGACGTCATATTTATAGTAATAGTTTTCTATATTTCAAGTGTTTTTCCGTATAATTGGTAACTTTCTCCAAATTAGTGATGTGAACGAAATCATTTAGGTCTAGGATTTTTCATAGCCAGCATATTTGATTGAGGCATCGCATGTTGCAATAAACTGAGATAGTTGGTGACTGTGCTTTTACTGGTAAATGTCATGTCGCCCAGCCGTCCAGTCTAGTTGAGCGACTTGGTTGCCTATAAATATATTTTTTATATATATAATTTACCTGACTTTCCATTGATATCTTTAGCTTTTAGATTCCTTGCTTTGATTAATGTCAGCGTTAAAATTGAGTTTGAAGGATGATAGCATAGTGACGATAAAAGTTCGCCGCATTTGTCCTTGGCTGGCGGCTTCAACGCCTTCCAAAATGATTGCTTGCCAGCAAAATCCACCTGAAAAGTATATATATATTCATATATAACTGCAATCTGCTATGTTGAAGAATAATATTACCTGGCACAGAGGCAAAAATACTTCACCAATGGAATCGTCTCTTGAGAAACGATCATAATCGAAGACATGTAAATGAAGGACCTAAATAAGTGTGGATCTTATTTAAATATTTCTAATTTATGGCGTGACTTCTTTCGCATTCTTCACTTACTCGCGATTGCAGTTTTTGTATTGGAAAGCCTTCGAAATAGAATGTTTCATTCCAGCGCGGGTTCAAAGTTCTTCTTTTTATCTTGGTCTCCAGGCGATGCTTTTTATCTGGCAACAATGTCACTCGTACATAGGGGTCGGAAGTTCCACTTAAATCCTTCGCTGGCAGCTCTTTGCCTTGCAGTACTTTTAATATTAGCGTCGTGTTTTGAAAATCATATTCCAATGAAAAGTGAATCTGTCCGACGTTTTCACTTGGATCCGTACTATCCAGGTACATATCTGTCATCGAGATGCTTTTGTTCTACAAAATTTCCAATATATTAGTCAGAACTTTAACTCGATTGTATTAATTTTTTCAATTCCATAGTATATACGTGTACTCTTAAATCAAAAAAAGCTAAAACACAAAAATGTTGTACGCAGTAAATTGATTAAAAACAAGTAAGAACGTTGCAGTCGGGCGTTACCAACTGCAACCAACCGTTACCAACTCATTCACACCTCATAAGCAATTTAGTAGCTAAGTTTAGCTTTAATACTGTAGAAAGTTCAGTTTTTCCGATTTGCCACGCTCCTACTGGGCGTAGACAATTCACTAGTAACTTAACTATTTCAATTTGAAGCTTCTAGCTATTGTACTTAAGGAGATATAAACCTTTGCGGTTTGACACGCCCCCTGTGGGCGGGTCTTGGGTGGTCGACCTGAGAATATGTATATACCAAATTTGAAGTCTCTAGCATCAAAAGTGTAAAGAATATAGCAGAATTTAAACAAGTAAGAAAGCTCTAGTCGAGACTGCTCGAGATCCCCTGAACCCTACAAGCAACTGATATTTCAATAATAGTTAGTACACTC